TGAGTCATCTACGATGTTGTTGTGGTAAATAATAAGCCTTTTTAAGGAATAATACCAAGTTTCATTTGTCACAATCAAGATACATAGTTATGACAATTAGATTGTTAGTACTGTTTCAATATACAGTATGATGCAAATGTACGGAATGAATTCATTTCAAAACAAGACGACTTCCGAAAACAATCCAAAAAGTAGAGTTCAGAACTTTTTTATCGATGTATTTTTTCAACTAGACGACCCTTCGATGTTCAATTCTCAGTAGAAGATCTCTGCAAGATTCAGTTAACCAAATGATAATCCATTTCAATTTCAATCTTCTTTTGCAAAATGTTGACTATTGGATAGACGATCAGTAGACCTTTCAAACGAGGTGTCACATGACCCCTGTTTGTATTTAAAAAAACTGTTCATTATGTCATCACTCCAACACCGGTGACGTAACATCTCTCATATGAATGTCATGAGATGAGGTTTCAAAAATTAAAACTCACGTGTTTTTGGAATTTCTTCAAATGTCGCCCATTTCTGAAATAATGAATTTATTCCATACATTTGCATCATATTGTACATATGTTTGTTATCACAACAAATTCTCCCAGTTGGGGCAATTACTCATTTCTTCTGACGTTAACAGTGAGTGTGTTGTTGCAAATCAAATATTCAATTGTGACTGCAATGGAATCTAGTTACTATTGAAAGTGATTTAGTAACGTTTGAAATATAATTTAGTTATTCTGGCAACTTAATAGTTTTATATCAATTAATATCAAGGCCCCATTCTAATAATAACAGTTTGTATGCCATTTTCCTTCCAATTTCCAATGAAATAGTGAACAGGAATACACCACACACCGTAAGTGCCACAGGCCACAGCTCAGCAAAAAGAGAGGGAATTATAAATATACACCGTGTACACGTGACGTCGGTTGGACGTTTCTCAACGTCGCCCGTCATAAAGTGAACTGAATTGTGAATAGGTTCCTAAACCTGATAACTAGTGACGCACAGATAACGATGATAAACTGCGAATTATTATTTTGCTAACCAAATGCCAAATGCCTCAGCGCGAAGTGCAAAAAAACACAAAACAGTGATTTGAAAACACACAGAGCAGTGAACCAGCAAGAACACGACGCTCCCGGCTACACTAGACAATTATTTTATTTATTTTGTCTAAGCTCGACGACCCATCGACGACCGTGCGATCTATCCACTATCAAGATACAAGTTCAAATGATGAAACAGAAAGACAAACAGATGCAAGATGCAATTTTTGCCGGTGGGTCCCGAAGAGACGCGAGGCGGTCCCGAACGACGCAGTACAACTAAAATTATTAGTTATGGCTAAACAATTTCTGCTATGCATAATAATAAACCTTTTACGATAAATGTGTCATCAGTTGTGGAAAATAGTCAGCTGTTGTTAGTAACCCCAGAATGAGGTTTTTTAACCCCAATTTGAAATTTTAATTTACTGAATAGACAACACTGTGATAATTCTGTCACAAATAGTATTTTTATTGATGACAAATAATTGACGAAAAATAGAAAAGTCATTTGTAGGAAATAAGGATACGTTGTCATTGTTAATAAAATTCCAAATATTTTCAATTATCGGTACTAAAAAAATATCAACTAGACGTTTTAATTAACCAGTTTTTCTCAGTGCAGATTTGATCTCTTGAAATATGTGAAGAATGGGATTCCGTTTTCGCTATTATTTGATTTGTGACGTCAGTTATGGAAACAAATCAATATTTTATGATGGAATAATTATATTTAATTCTCTTCCTGATTCGCTGAAAAAGTTGAATAATATATACAATTTCAAAAGACGGCTAAAACTTCATTTTTTGTAAATGTTAGATGATTATTATGCATATTTTTAATGGTATTGTTTTGTTATCATTAATGTTATTTCAGAATTTATATTCATAATAACACATAGGTATATACATACATATATTATATCTATCTCTATCTTATACCTATCCTATCATGTTAAATATTTAATTTTATGTTATATCATATCCCTGTATAAACTACAATGTTTCTTGGGATTTATAAATTAAGAAAGAACATATATACCGCAATGGAAAAGTATTCCTATTATATTTATGAAACCGAACCTGCAAACACTTATCTACGCCACTGGAAAACGAAATCTCACTAATTATTTGAAATAATGAATGTTTCCATCATTTAAAACTCGAGTCTCGAACTGAGATCATTATTGCTGCTACTTATTCGAATTCGATTTCTTTCAACTCGCAAATACTCAAATACCAATAAAATGTCGATCTTTAACGAACGATTTTCAACGTTTCCTCGAATATAACATTTTAAATAAAAAACACGACAGACAAAGCCATTTCCTATCATGATCATCGTTTAATTGGATGATTGGGTGTGCTGATTGTTAATTAGTGTTACTGTTGATTATCACCAATAAGTTGAATGAACACAGATAGATCCTTATCCTCCGTTCCTAACAACAATATGAGGGGATTGGGGGAGGGGCATTTGATTTCTTTGATCATGATCTGTATATTTAATAATATACTGAATATGAATTTTGAAAAATCGCCTCTTGATTTCTCCCGGTGTCTTTTCCTGAGGCACTTTTTTATAAGAAATCTGAATCTGTCATTGTATTTTCCATGACGTTCTTGATGCCAAAGTTACAACACACAACTTTGTTTTTTCCTACAGGCGCCATATTGAATTTTCATATTTTTGAAAAGTATTTTTTTTATTAAAATGATGTGTCACACGATATATGATCGAATCTTTCCTGTTGATCAAAATTGAGAAAAAAACATTTTTGCGAAGAGTGCTTCTCACATTCCTACCTACTTGATTATTGAATACCGATTACTTCATAAAGGGGAAACTATATCCTGATTTAGAGTTTATTATATACTATATGACATATTGGTATTGATGATGATCTTCAACAAATAAAAATTATCTCACGGTCTCACAATAATTGATATCAAAGACTAGGTATATATGATAAATTATATAGAATTCAGTAATCTTTGCTAACAGATATATGCATGTATTTTATCTTTCATCGTGAAATTGTTATTTATACACCAAATTAGAAAAGAATATATTACCCAGGGACCAAGATTATATTCCGAGGCTTCAGCCGATTTCCTACGTTACCAACGACACAATGATTGTGCGAAGCAGTGCGCGAATTACATACTTTCTCGCGTTTTGCATGTATAAACTATATGAGATTTTCAAACTCGGCTGCGCCTCGTTATAAAAATCAGTTCTCGATCACAAAAGTAGCATACTAGATACAAACATAACTATTGCAGCACAAATTTCCCATTTATCATTTTAAAAATTTGACAGCAACTCAAAACACCCTCTCCAAGACACAGTTTAGGGAATCTTATTCATCCAATAACATTTCCTAAGCTGTGCCCAAGACTAATAGTTATCAATTATACAAGGGAATGAAAAAGTAGTAGATTTTAGCGTAGCGGAGGGAGACAAAAAACCGTAAGCTGAAATTTAATATTTTTCTCGTGTATAATACACTATTTTTCTCTGTGACAGGCCGATTCAATATTGAGAAGATTATATTGCAATCAGGAAATTATCGACGTGAAATTTGAAGTTTTTAACAGGAATTACACCTACGTTGCAGGCATCTTTGTCATTCTTTTGAAGTAATCAAATATCTGTCAGTCTAATTCTGTGATTTGATTTTCAAAAATTGCGAATTTAGTGGTTATTTAGTAATTTACGTAACCGCGAAGTCGAATGGAGTATAAAAGGACTCGCAGTTCTTTCTAGGAGACGGTATTAATGACTCATTTTTCGGAACTAGCATAACAAAAGCCCTCAACATTGTATATATATGTGATATATATCCGGGAAAAAAGTACTCACTTTTTTCCGTGGGAAAAACGTGATTTATGAAAAGTGACATTTTATACCTGTCATTCTCACCCGAGGTATATATAATATTTTTTTCACTAATAACACTGAAAAATCGAAATCTTTCATCAATTCATATTCTAATTTCAATTGAGCGAACAATGCCATTCACCCCGTATATTCAGCATTGTTCAGCATATTGCTAAAATTTGGTTATATCAAGTATAGCCTAGGACACCTAGGTAAAATTTCTTTATCAATTCATCATTATTAATTTACCTAGGTTCAAAAAGTGTTTACTTCTCATAAGAGAAAATCCTCGAATAATAGTGATTTCTCAGGATAATGGTGGAAAAAAAGTATTATTATGCACCTGGTGGTCATATACCCACAATACCCACATATCGTCATATAATGTCTGGAAATTTCATGTCATCGCCTTTATGCCTTTCACTATTTCATTCAGGAAATTGATAGGAAATCACAAACTTTGTAACAACTAGATATCTACCGCATGACACCAGAAACCGCAATAAACTTGGAAACATGAAATATATTACTGCTTCTATGTTAAATATCTTGCAAATGACTCTACACTATATTCAATAGGTTCCTGGATTCGTTTTCATATTATCAAGTAGGTATAATGATGTCTACACAAAAAGAAAATCTACCTTTGAGTAAAACAACAAAGTTACTTTTTTTTTCTGTAATGAGAAATGAGAATATTATTTACCAAACAAGAATATACAGGGTTGGGCAAAAGTATGGAACCAGGTGAAAGTCTCGGTAACCGTTTGTTAGATTTTTTTGGATATATGTACAGGGTGATTTGAAAATGCTATCGTCGATGTTGCCACTTTTTCAGTTATTCCGGAATTATCATCAACTTCCTTATTTTAAATAGAACACCCTGTATTTTCTTGAATTCACAGATTCTCCCTGAGAAGCTGATTTCATCGATTCATCACACTTGGGTCTAGCAAGAATAGCAGATACAGGGTGGTTGAAAATCCTAATTCATCTTAATTCTGAACCACCCTGTACCTATTTCAATTAAATAGGTTTATAGGTTTATATTCGTTTCTTATTTTTTTCAGTGCAACTGAATGGCAAAGAAAAGGTATCCTCCCCAACTCAGGAAGTGGATGTGGACATTGTCCAAAAGACCATAGGAGTTTTTGGACGTTGGCACATTTTTGTGTGCCTGATCATTTTTCTAGTCAAATTCCCGGTAGCTTGGCACCAGCTGAGCATAGTATTCGTAGCAGCTCCAGTGGATTTTTACTGTGTGAATAATTCGACAGAAAAATGCTCTTCGAACTGTACAAATTACGTTTACGATATGTAAGTACCCAAACTCCAAGTTCATGACTATTTTTTCATTTTGACCTTTTGAAGCATTTAATTGACATATTTCATAATGAAGCGAAAATCAATGCTTAATTCTAGCCAATCATTTGGTATCATACTGATAATTTGTTACTAGCAAATTACAGCGAATATTTCCCTCACATATAAAATGTGCCATTAGAGCAATGCAATTATCGGAAACTTACAGCGGTAATTGCACTGCAGCGCGAAGATTGCAGATCAAAAAGTGACAGAAATGTCGCGTTTTGTGTGAAATATTCCGCTGAAATATATTCGTGCATAAAAAAAGTTTTCACCACCTAATTCTGGCTAACGTTAACTCTGGAAGTTTTATAATTATTATTATTATATATTAAAACAGTGTGGAAACAATTTACCTAAAGAATCATACAATGAAATCGATATCACTGTAATCACAAAAAGTTGAAGTTGAACAAAGTTTCATTACATTATATCGTGGTTTGATGAATCGCTTAGAAATATATTACGCAATGGTGTCCACCATCACAATACACTTCCGATATCCGTCGAAAAGTATATAATGGTGATTACAATATGACAAAATACCTATCTAAAAGTAATTAAGTAAACATTATGTAATATAGATAGAGCCAATTATTCAAATGTTGATAATTTGAATCGCCAATACCTACTCTACTTTCATTTTGTTTTATTCAATCGTAATAGTATAGTAAAGTCGCTTAGGATAGCATGGGGGCCAATCAGGGATATTTATTTTATTGACTACACTTAATAATACAATATAAAATCCAATTAATCAGGCATTATTCTAAAATTTTGCTATCAATCATCTCAAGATTTTAGTTTGTAAGCGTAGATTTCTGATAGTTGCATGGTATATAATAATAATAAAAATTATAAAATTTTTCTACGGCTCTAACACAAAATTGCTCTTGTTTTACTGTGTTCGATACATCAATGAGGTACTTTGTATGTCATCAATTTTATTTCTGTATCTGATATCACAATAATGACTCCATTGTGTTATTATTTCGAAAAATTCTTATCGCTCATGGAATTTCGAATTTCAAGCAATCACAGCTCTCTTTAATAGATGAGCAGAAAATAAGATGGCTACAAGACGAAGAAATCAAAAATGCCGCTGTTATCTGTTACAGCCGTAGAAAAATTATAGTATGTAACTCAAACGGAATGATTGCAATCTTCATTCTCTTGGATAATCACTTTCAATATTCTGTACTCGTTGAACAACATTCTATTCTATAACCTTTCACAGTATCTCCTATCACGAATTAAATGGAGATATTATATGAATGCATATCATCGATTGAAATATTCGTCAATACTATATAAAAACAACCGTTAATTAGAAATTCGTTGAGTTTGGTTTAGTTTAGTTAGTAAGCTTTTACGGACTACGAGTTCAGTACCTATATCAGTTCCCTTCATCTGAAAGGAGATAAAATAACCCCTCTCCATTTTTTTTATATTGACGAAAAGTGTGTCTTTAAAACTACTATTCACAAAAATCCAACATGACGAAAAAATAAGAAATGAATTTATTTGTTTTTCTACTCACATAACTAAAATGGCATTTATCGTACGGATATGTACCACGCTAAATGATCGATTAATCACGGATTGTCGATCTGTGATTTATTCAAAATATTAAACACGTTACCATGGCAACACGATTTCTTAAACACATCACCATGGCAACGCAGTTCATTAAACACAGCTTCAGTAATTCGAGACATGTCTGGCCTGTCAATTGTATTAACTGTCAACTCTTATTTTCATATTTTGTATCAGAATTATTCAAACAATATTCGTTTGTATCGGAATTCTTCATTAAAAATATATGCGAAAAGTAGACGAGAGTGGAATCGAAGAGAATGTTTAGGTACTAACATACCTCCAAGAAGTGTAAAAATGAAGCATCCATCTTTGAGAACAATTTATTCATTCTGCGCTAAGCATGACCACAGATTAACAAACTTTGTTAATCTGTGGCATGACAATAAACGTGAAACAAAGGATAGTAAGCAATGGACTGGACAGATCTACAACCAATATCACTTATACGTGTCTCGCTGGTTGCATGCAGTTGTATGTATGTTTTCAATTCCCATTCCTTTCGAATTATTTTGTAGGTTAGCAGGAATAGCAGGTATGTTAATTAATGTGATTTTTGGAGTTCGTAGAAAACTCTTCTAGACACTCGTCTCGAATACTTGTTACTAGAAGGACGTTTATAACACTTGTTACATAATATACTATTCTCCTGTTGCTAAATGACATTTTAGTGTTTTAAAATACGCCAGGGTTTTTTAACAATGGCTCCGTTAAACTGGAATCGTGTTTCATATAATATAATATACAACTATTTTTGATGACTGATTACATTCAATAACATAATATGCTGGAGATTCTTCTAGGAAAACATTAATTATTCAACTAATGTAAATCCAAAAATAGTCTTTGTTATCTACACATACCTAACATTTTGAAATAAACACAATGAACCATTACAAGGTTAAATTAAAGATTAAGAACAAATGAGAAAAATGAAATATACAGGGTGTTTCATAATTGAATGCTGATCCTTGAGGGCGATAATCCTTGGATGATTTCAAAGAGAAAAGTTCATATCAACATATGTCCTAAACCTCTTAGTTATTATTGAGCTACAGGGTAATGAAATTTTCAAGGAAAAAATGAGTTTTTCATCATAATTTTTTATCACTCTTAGATATTGTTATGATATTTTGTATACACCTTTTCATTATTAAGGAGCATTTTTTTACGTGAAAGATATTTAAAAATTCTCCCCAGTGGCGTCCGTACGGGGTTTGAACTGACAATTTTTGAAGAAAAAAATAGTACGCCACTGATTTCTCTGAGAACCAGATTTTTTTGGTTCCTAGACTTACTTTCATACAACGAACCGTTTTCGCGTAAAAAAATAAAAACCAAAGAATTTTGTTCCTTCAGTTCTTGGATATTGTTTTTGGTAATTCAGTAGACACCCACTATAAGTGGAAACACATTTTGTTTTGGGACGAAAATCAAACTTTTACTTTTACCAGTGATGTCCTCGTAGACCTGATATTGAATGTTTAGTTTAAATAAACGCTGTACGCTTCTGATCTCAACACCCTGTAGCTCAAAAACTAAGAGGTTCAGGACATATGTTAATGTGAACTTTTCTCCTTAAAATCATCCAAGGATCATCGCCCTTTAGGATCAGCATTCAATTATGAAACACCCTGTATAATGTGATTGTTCTATGTACCTACTTTTAATATGATTTATAAAAAAATCTGCTGTTGAATTGTTTTTGACTTTGACTTCAATTTCCGTGATAAAAATTCATCTGCACATAATAAAGTATGTAATAAAAAGGCAGTATAGATTCAGATTGTTCATGCATTGGTCATCACCCTCTTGGCCCTGAACATCCCAGATAGTGAGAGGAAAAATACAATCTATTTTGCATGACCTCTTCTTATTGAGAGAGATCAATTCATTGACGTTGATTGGAATTTCCATAGGAATTATAGATGCAGATTGTGGTGCGATTATCAAAAATTCCTGTTTCATTGGATATTTCTTATTTGCTTGAAATAAAGATTTAATAATATAATCAGCAAAGATCACGCGACATACCGACATAATGTGAAGTAGAGTTATTGTAGAATTAATGGAAGGTATGTTTAACGAAAATTATTGAACATTACGTACCTTTGAAAATTACCCAGAAAATTACTGAATTCAATTGGAATATTTCGAAAATTTATCTCTGATGCGGAAATGATTATAAAAATAAAATGACATAATAATGCTAATAATGGATAATGAAAGTTTGGATTGTTCGTTTATCTACTCAATACATGATGATCTTTTCATATTGAAGTGTTTGTGAACAGAAATTCAAATGAGAGACCTAGAATCTCAAGATTTAGAGATTCTAGTAAAATTTCGTGAATCGTTTGTCCACTGTTTCGGCTTCACAAGGTTCATCCGTTGCTCAAAGGCCATCTGTCATTCGATTCAGGACGGAAACGCGGAAACGCCAATAAAATTAAAATGTTACCTTTATATCATCGAAACTATCTGACGACTCCAAAAAATGTTCTCCCAATTTTTTTTATGGATTGGTTATAAAGATGAATATATACAGGGTGTTTGAAAAAAACCTGACTCCCTTGCTAGGGTAGGTAGAACACTGCAAAATAAGTTGGATTTGCTCTGTAAAAAAATGTCGAAACGGCATCCGTTTTCAGGAAAAAAGGTGTTGAAAAAATGATTTTTTTACACATTTTTTACGATTATGTCGAAACCACTGGCAAAATTGTGATGAAATTTTGTATGGATGTTTTTTGGAATCTGACACATGGCATGATTTTGTTTTTCTATCCAAAAAACATCCATACAAAATTTCATCACAATGTTGCCAGTAGTTTCGACGTAATCGTGAAAAATTTGTAAAAAAATCATTTTTTCAACAACTTGTATCTTAGAAACGGATGCCGTTACGACATTTCTTTACTGAACAAACCCAACTTATTTTGCAGTGTTCTACCTACCCTATCAAGGGGATCAGGTTTTTTTGAAACACCCTGTATAACTCAAAATATGCTAGAAAAAAAAATCTCCCAAATTTCAAGATTACCAAAGCTGAAATGTTGATATAAGAATCAAGAGGTATCCACAGAGTCATGAATGAGAGCTAGTTGCTGGAAAAAACAATTTTTTGTGTTAAACTTACGACCATTATGTAACCAAGTCACAACCAGCAATTATAACCATGTGCATGTGTTTATTTCACTGCCTATAGTAACTATTTGATTTATATTTCATTATTTACAGGTCTGTATTCAAGAGTACAATAGCCACAGAATGGGATCTTGTTTGTGATAAAACGTATTTAGTAAACTTTGCTCAAACAGTCACTATGCTAGGAATTCTCTGCGGAAATATGGTTTTTGGATACCTCTCAGATAGGTAAGTTGACTAGTTTTTAACAATAAAACATATGACTGAAATTGAACTCTATTAATGTTTCAAATGTTCCTATGTGACGAATTACTAAAAACATGAAATAAATTGTGGAATCGTTCGATAGAACTAATTATACAGGGTGATCCACGGTGTATGGAAAAGATAGAACATTTTGAAAATTGGAATGATAATTGACTATTCTCTATCCGTCTAAAATATTTTCATCGATACAGTGTTGCCATTTCTATCAGAAACAACTAGCAACTTTGTTATTTCAAATGGAACACCCTGTATTTCATCGCATTTTTAGATTCTAGAAACTATCAATTATCGATCAAAACGGCTTACATGTCCCTATCTTTACTTTTGATTCACAATCTACTGGAATTTAATTGGAAAAAATACACGACGGTGCTTCAAGATTGAGAATTCTGATCACCCTGTATCTGTTCCAATTAAATGTCAGTAGATAGTGAATCGAAAGTTAAGATAGGGACATATTAGCCGTTTTGATCGATTATGAATAGTTTCGACACAAAAAAATCCTAAAATTGAAAAATCTCGATTTTGAACACCCTATATCTCTATAATTATTCCTGCTAGACTTCAAGTGTGATGCATTGATGAAATCAGCTCTTCAGGAAGGATCTAAAAATGCAATAATGTACAGGGTGTTCCATTTAAAATAACGAAGTTGCTAGTTGTTTCTGATAGAAGTGGCAACACTGTATCGATGAAAATATTTCAGGCGGATAGAGAATGTTGAATTATCAAAGCATCCCAATTTTCAGAATGTTCTGTTTTCTCGTTCTCCAGATACTTCTAATAGGCCATCCACCGTGGATCACCCTGTATGTTTTGAACTGACTCGGCCGTTACTTGATGAAAATTAATAGTAAATGTAAAAAACATCACAAAAAGTCAGGCATGGTTTCCCTTTTTCTAGTAATAGTTGTATAATACGCCAATTCAATAGTAACTAAAAATTTACTAATGATGAATATTGGTTTGGTATAAAGCTAATACTGGACCATACTATTTCATCAGACATGATTTTAATACGTCACATGTGACTCCAGATTTGGTAGAAGAAACCCTCTGGTATTGGCAGTGGTTATTCAAGCAGCATCTGGACTAGCTGCAGCTCTCTCACCATGGTTTTCCCTGTTCTTGGTCATGAGGTTCCTGGCAGCCCTGGCAACCGGTGGTACCATGGTCACTAGTTTCGTACTCATCATGGAAATATTAGGTGAGTAGTAGTAGAAGTAGTACTGTGGGGAGGCTGTAGCCAGGCAAGTAGGCCCCAATGGGCCCTTTTTGCCAACCCCTGCTCTCCACATATCTACACATCCCTCTTTTATTTGTCCTTTTCGAACCGTCCCGTCCTTCTGATGAAGGTCAGGATGTCCGTCCACTCTAATTCGACCAAATCTTCCTGTTGTAGTTTATCTACTTTAAAGATTTCGAATTTCATCCTTCCATACGCCTTACACTCTCCGAGGAAGTGAAGTGATGTCTTCTCATCTTCTCCGCATTCGCCGCAAGTGGGACTATCTTCCACACCTATTAGTGATAGGTGCCTGCGTAACCTGTTGTGCCCTGTCAGTATCCCTATAAGAAGGCGCAGGACTTGGCGATCCCTGCCCAGTAACCAAGCCGTCTTTGGCTTGCTTGGACCGGCCACCAGGTCTCTCGATTGCCTGCAGCCGCCTATACGTCTCCAATATACTTCTAGAGCCTCGTCCGCCCATTTGTTAAGGGCAGACGAAGTTTGGCTTCTTGTTATGCCCAGTGCAGGCTCCGGCCCCCAGAACGGTGTCGCGGATCCGATTCAGGCCAGCTCGTCGGCCACCTCGTTTCCGGGCACCCCCCTGTGCCCCGGAACCCATACTAGTTCGACTTCCTTCTGTTCAGCTAGTTTCTCAAGAGCATCGCCACATTCCTGCACCAAAGCTGAGCTTGGTTTAGGATGGCAGACAGCCCTGAGAGCCGCCTGACTATCCGAGCAGATGTAAATCTTCTGCTCTGGTCCCTCTTTCACCTCTTGCCTCTCCGCTACTGCCAGAATGGCAGAGACTTTCCAAGAGCGTAGCTCTCCCTGATGCCTATTCCTTAGGTGAGTAGGTCAACTTCCTTCTTCGTCGAGTATTATGAATAATTTTCATAAATCTCTAATTCGCTGGATGAAGTTGATTACTAATGAAGGAATGCTTTATTTTGAATACAAAAACGACTTGGATTTCATCGATCGACATAAAAGGAAAAAGGTTGATAGGGGTCTACTATGGAAGGTTGATAGGGGTCTACTATGGAAGGTTGATAAACCATACATAATGTAGTGAGAAACGAATGAAATATGCCGTAATGGCTTCCAAATACTCAGATTTGAGAACTTTATTTGAAAAAAACTGCGAATTTGCATGTCATTTGCCTGGAAACATCAGAAAGCTATCTGGCTTAAAATGGTCTGAACATAACAATTATTGTTTCTGAGTGGCTAAGGTCCAATGGTCACCTAATTGCCTGAAACCATTCATTTCTTTTATTCTTATAGGAATTCTAGAATCATTATTTATAAAGGGAAACTTTTAATCCAAAATCGTCTAAAATAGATTAGCGGGTTTGGCACCTCACGTCTTAACTCAAATTCTTCACAGCTGAATGAATATACAAAACATGCATGATTCCATTCGATTTAAATACTTGCTCAACTGATGGAAGCAAATTAAAATAATAAATTGTTCATTACCCACAAACTTAACGATGGAAAGAAACATCTTTAGTATTTTACACCTTTTTAGCCAACTTCACGATGTGAAAGGTCTAACCCGTAAAAATGTAGTCAACTGACATAAAATCCATTGGATTATTCCAGGTACCGAATGGAGGACAGTGATAGGCGTCCTGTACCAAATCCCCTTCAATCTGGGCCATCTTCTCCTGCCCTTGATCGGTTATTACGTTCGAGATTGGAGGTACTTCCAAGCGATCATCTCGGCCCCATCTTTGGCCCTGATCGTCTACTACTGGATCCTCCCGGAGTCCCCCAGATGGCAGTTGGCGACAGGAAACAAAGAGGGGGCTATCGCCACTATGAGGCGGGCAGCTAAAGCTAACCAGTTGCCTATAGGTGAGTGTGTTTTTTGTTGATGATTTTTCATTTATAATTACAGGAGAGCTTTTTTTGTCGTAAGCAAACTTGACATTTTAATCATAATTTTGTTAAATTCACTTAAGGCAAAAAAACTTGAACTATAAAAGTTCAGTTTACTTCCACACAAAAAAAGCTTTAGTGTAATTCGGTAAAACAATTTAATGAATACTAAAATCACATTTCCTATTGTTGATGTTTTTTTTTTCATTTCTCCACTCAAAGTCTCTAAATCACGACATTTCCACAGATTGAATACTTTTCTAACAACGTCCAACTGGAAAATTACAAGAGTACAACCAGTTCCGATCGGTCTGTAGCTACCTAGCAGCTACAGACCGATCGCACTGCTATCTATTATTTCAAAGATCATGGAGAAAGCTATCAACATCTAGCTCATGAAATACCTGGAACATTCAGGTATTATCAACGATAGGCAATATGGTAGCAATCTATTGAAAAATATGGTGAAACCTTAGCCGTGGCACTTGCCAGAGATTATGATATCTCCAAGGCATTCGATCGAGACTGACACGACCACGGATTCCTCGCCAAGCTTCCATCTTATGGCTTGCCTCCCCAGCTATGTTCTCTGATAGCTAGTTTTCTCTCAAACAGGTCTCTCCATGTAGTGGTCGACGGAGTTTCATCTGACTCTCTTATCATAAATGCTGGTGTTCCGCAAGGATCAATTCTAGCAACAACACTATTTCTACTCCATATCAACGATTTGTTGGAAGCAACTTTATGTCCAGTACACAGCTTCGCGGATGATAGTACCCTCCATACCGCCTTCTCTTCCAGGGCTCCAATACCAGCCAGGCAAATCAGAAACAAACGAGGAAGAAATGTTGACAATATAAATATGGACTTGGCAACAATTCTCTAATGGGGATCCAATATCTGGGTAAATTTCAATGCAAACAGAACACAAGCATGCCTTTTCTCTAGAAAAGCCGATCTCACTGTGCCAAACATAAGCATGTCAGGAGTAACCATACCTTTGAAGACATCCATTTTGATGCTTGGGTATTACTATCAGCAATAACCTTTCTTGGGAAAATCACGTGAGATCAATTGCTAAAAGTGCATCCCAAAAACTTGGTTTTCTGTTTTGGGCCAGGAGCTATTTCACTTTCAGTCAGCTGCTTATGATCTATAAGGCACAGATCCGACCTGTCCTGGAATAAGGTTCCCATATTTGGAGTGCAGCACCCAAACATACCCTGAAACTGTTGGATTCTGTCCAAAAAAGGGCAATTCGTCTCGTGGGTGATGCCTCGCTCACAAACTCACTCACTTCTCTGGAACACCGTAAAAAAGTTGGCGATCTGGCTTTATTTTATAGATATTTTCATGGACGATACTCTTCTGAAATATCAACAATTGTTCCTCCCTTGGCAGTCTCCGCGAGATTAACCCGTCGAGTTGAGGCTTCGCACCCCTTTGTGGTCACTTTGGAGACCTGCAGAACATCTCTTTCCAAAGACTCGTTCATCCAACGAACAGCGAGGCTCTGGAATAAATTGCCAAGGGAGGTGTTCCCTGAGGAATACAACCTCCAGAAATTTAAGAAGAACACCAATTCCTATCTTATTCCCCTTGGTTCTCACAGGATATCCCTTTTCGTGGGAACCAGAACAAAGATAAAAGTATACATCAAATGTGCATCTATACAGACGAACCCATACGCAGACTATGCAATGAGGAGGAGGAAACGGCCACCCTTGTAATATTGGAGTGCGAGGAACTGGCGCGTCGGAGATACAACCTTCTGGGAGCACTAAACCCACATGAGGTTTTTCAAACGAAAGATTTGGTGAAGATGCTGTTAAACCTCATCAAGGTAGCGAACCTGTTCACCTGAGTCAACAGCATGATCAGGAATGCAATAGGCCCAAAGGCTGCAGTGTTTTGGGCTTCAGAATAGAATAGAATAGAACTTATTCATATCGCCACAGCTACCACCATAGGTGGATATATACGTCAAAGTATAGGTACAAGTCTAAAATACAATACATCTCAGTACAGAAAATTAAAATTTACAAAACAATAGCACTAGTTAATAACATTTGTTAACAAGGACAATTAATGAAAATCATCACAGTTCATATACTAAGTTCGATGCATAGTACTCATCGATGCTATAATATGCCCCTTTACCAAGCAATCGTTTCAGGACATTTTTAAATTTACCTGTTGGCATCTCTCTGATTACTTGAGGCAGGTGGTTATACAACTTGATCCCAGTATAGTTCGCAGATTTTTCAAACTTGGACAATCTATGTTTTGATATCATGAGGTTATTGGCATTTCTCGTGAAATGATCATGGCAGTCAGAATTCTTAGATAGCCTATTCAGGTTGTGCTTGACGTGCAATAGAGTCTTTAATATGTATATAGATGGTAATGGTAGGATGCAGTTGTCCACAAACACCTGCCTGCAAGTACTACCGAATGGAATATTGAATATTAGTCTCATTATACGCTTTTGTTTACTAAATATTTTTTTGGCGTTTACAGAGTTTCCCCATAAACAAACATGGTAGGTAAGTTGACTGTAAACTAACGAGTAGTATATCTCAATAATCGTGCCCAAATTTAACGTTTTTTCAAGTTGCACTATAGCATAATTTGCAGAGTTGAGTTTCTTACTCAAGTGTTCTATGTGGGGGTCCCAACATATAAATTGGTCCACAATAACACCTAGAAACCTCACCTCTGACACACATGCTATATCAGGTATGCACACCGCGGGCTCACCTTTTTTGCATCTGAAATGCATGTAAACTGTTTTACCAAGGTTCAGTTTTATATGATTTCCATTACACCACTTATGAAAAGTATCGACTACATATGATATTCTTTCATGAAGCCCCCCAGAAGTATGTGACGTGACCACTACAGAGGAGTCATCCGCATACATTATTATCTGATCATGGATATGTTCTGGCAAATCATTGACGAATAAGAGAAATAAAAGCGGCCCCAACACAGATCCCTGCGGAACACCCATATATATATTATACATATCAGACCTTTCGTTTGTAATTTGCACATAGTAACTTCTTTCAGATAAATATGAGTCCAATATGTCCAACATAGATCCTCTTATACCATAAACATAAAGTTTATCCTTCACCAATTCTCTTTTGATGCTATCGAAAGCTCTGGTTAGATAAAAAAAATACCTGCCACATATAACCCTGACTGGTCATTCTGCCATAAATCAGTCAATCAAATACACGAGAGCTTTTTTTGTCGAAGTGAACTTAATGTTTTAATGAGAATTTTGAATATAGCCTGAATCGGCCTCGACAGTAAAAGCTTCCACAGTATTTTTTTCGCAATATCACCTGTGGAATTGTAAGATGCAATGGATTTGCTGTATTTCCAGATAAAATCGAGCAAGACATAACCCTCTATCTGGAACACAAGGAGAGCAAAGCCTCGCCCCAAGCCAAAGGCAACATCCTGGACCTGGTTCGAACGCCCACCATCAGGATGTATACCATCGCCATCGGCTTCAACTGGCTGGTGTGTGGCTTGTGTTTCTTCGGGGTCTCGCAGTACATCGGCCAACTGGGAGGCAACATTTTCGTCAACGTCGCCATTTCCGCGGTGATCCAGGTGCCCAGCACGATCTTCGCTTGTTACGCCACCAAGGCTTGGGGGAGGAAGAAGACTCTCATCGTCGCTGATGTTATGTCCGGAGTGGCCATTTTGTTGATCGGTAAGAGACATTCTCATAGATTTAGGGTACGATGATACGGCCCAGAGTGTCTTGATGTACTTATTTGACACTCATGTTTCGACGTTTTTGTATATCTGACAGTGGGAAATGATAACCACTGACGATTTTGATGCAGATCATATGTTTTGCCAGACAAGGACAATAGTATATATGTTTTTCTCTTAGATCAAACTTCCTGCATAATTACAAATCGTGCCAGTTCAACAGAATATCTATTTATTATTTTAACTGTCAAACTGACACTCTTTGTAATCATGCAACAAGTTATCGATGTATAACCCGAATATTTTGAGGTACTCATAGATTACTATACTAAATAGTTTGAAGTTCGAATTGTATCCGATGCGATTATTTTTTGAGTAGTTCTGAACGAATGCCAACATTTTATGATGCGCTTTGTTTGTATAAGTTACAATATGAATTGGTTACTATGGAAGTTACTTATTCTAAATTTCTGATTGGAGGAGTATAACCTACTCTATATGTATATCCACGTATATATTCGAAATTATACAAGGTAGCTCAACTCAATTGAACGTTCTGATTGGTTCAGGATCATATGAAAAAAATATTCTCCATAATACACCCCTCGATGATGACTTGATAGCTATTTATATATCAAGGGAGGAAAGGTTACAGTAATTTGACAACTTTGTTTCCTTAAAAGAGGGAGCAAACACATCTCAGAGATGTTAAAACTACGAGATTTCGAGACATTGAACCTCCACTGCGATGTTCTTTTTAAAGCCTTTTCATGGACACAACAAAACATTTTCAACGCGTCTTGCGCACATTAAATCGCTGTAAAAAAACCATTTTCGAGGTACTTTTCTGAAGCCTTTTGTCAAAATGAACTTTTGCATTAGGATTCCATTTCTATTGAATGAAAAAATGCATTAAAAATAGATTGAACATAAAAATATTTTCTTGATATGAAATTACCTTCTTAATCGGTTTCTGAGTAGTGCTTACTACACACAGACATATAATTGGAAATAGGTTTCCCAATTTTTGAAATGTTCTCCACAATGCATAATTTTGCAACTGCGGAGAAGGCTGTGTATTGATAAATTCGTACTTTCATGTATTGATTACACTGAGGCACCGAACAACACATCTTGCATCTGATGGTCATTATTACAAACTAAATAAGTCTTCTAACACAATAAACTTCACCAAATTCCATTCTGTTCGTTAGCAGCGTGATGTAAGCGTGACACGCTGCAAACGCGAATGCCAATTGCGAACAAGAAGAACAAAATCGAAAACAAATCAGAATTCATCGTCTTGTGACGTAAGCATGAGACGTTGTGGTGGGGCAAACAAAGAAAGGGCACAAAAGAACAAAAACAATACTTTCAATATCCTTCTTTGGGAAGTGCATATTACGCCTCAAAAAAACATCCTCATGCCTACATTTCTAAAACATCCAAAAACATCCCAGAGATACCTCTCAGTAGGCAAACAAAGAAATGCCACAGAAGAACAAAAACAATACTTCAATATCCTTCAAAGACCTCTTTGGTCAGTGCATATTACGTCTTCAAATAACATCTTCATGCCAACATTTTCAAAACATCCCAAAACATCCCAGGGATGTTTGTGCTCGCTGGGAAACTTAAAAGTGCACGTAGTGTGTAATTTTGTTTTCGCGCATCCGTATGTATTTTTTGGCTTTCTCGGTGAGTGTATAATTCATCGGGAAGGATTCTGCCGCCTGGTGTGTCATGAGAACTCGACCTCCCTGCCGATTGATCGACGGATGACCCGTTAGCTCAATTGGCAGAGCGTTGGGCATGCAAACCTAGAGGTTGTGAGTTCGACTCTCACACGGGGTGGTGGAGATTTTTCATATTCCATTGTCACTCGAAATTAGGGCTTTCCATCTTTATCATTATATAATTCTGTGACATTCGTTCGTTCCTCCATTTCCAGCCGCCGTACCAGCGCACACCCCCTGGGCGAAAACCCTCCTCTCCTCCATCGGCATGTTCGGCCTGGCGCTCTCCTTCCCCACCGTCTACATCTACTCGGGCGAGCTCTTCCCCACCGTGCTGAGGAACATCGGAGTGGGCGCGTCCTCGATGTGCGCGCGCATCGGCTCGATGGTGGCGCCCTTTGTGGCCGCCCTCGGGGCGACCGAGCCGTGGATCCCGCCCCTGGTGTTCGGGGCGGTGCCGCTGGTGGGGGCGGTGTTGTGTCTCAAGCTGCCCGAGACGCTGGACTGCAAGCTGCCGGACACTATCGAGGAGGCGGAGAGGTATAATGTCAAGAGGAGTGAGGAGGGGGTTGTGGGTGATGTGACCGAGATGAGCTGATGGGATGCTGGTTATTGAAATTTGTGTACGCGAGTTGTCAAACTGACGCAATTCCGACTGGGGTTTTTATATTTTTGTATAATATGACATGAGTTTTATTGAACTAAGACTAAGAAGAAGAGACAACATGTATAATAGCAGTTGAAAGACTATAGTCCATTCCAACTTAGAAGACTGGAAACCATAAGGAAGTGTTGACTTTTGCTTTGATTGGTTGATATTGGAGGTAATATTACACCTGCCTAATATTAAAATGTTCATGGAAAGATGGTCATATCATCACGCATTTCATTCATTCATTTTGTTTTTTATGTTACAATGAATCCTGAGAATAAGCACGAACTCAAAGTAGAGTTTGATCATTAGAAAGGCCATGATTTCGAATTAGGCGCCATATACTCATATCGTCGGTGTAAACATTCATTCAGACAGCACCTACTATTTTCTTATTTGGAATTTAGTATTTACCTTCCGATTCTGTGATGTTATTTATCTATGTATATTGAAGTCAGAGGAACAATATATTATGAGAATACTACATTATTTGTTTACCATATTTAATTACAATATTTTTTACTTTTGAATTCTTGTGAACATCGTTACTAAATAAAACACACTGTACATACATGCATACAGGTTGTAGTACACTATTCTATATTATAACCAAATCCGATGTCAATGTATTTCTGTGCTTTTAATCCCACTGATGGCCTTTGAAAGACTGGTATTTTTTTTCTCTAATATTGTTTGTACCAATATTTTTTGAAATGCTAGATATGTTGATTCCTATAAAAAATATGTACCTACCGTTCAAAATGGCGCTTGGGCGCTTGGCCTCTTCATCTCTGTCGATGTGAAAATTGCGCCTAGAGTTCCACATTGTAATAATAAATAAAAGACTGCTCAAAAGTCTATAACCCTTGAACAAACTGAACTGTCGTTGAATCGTTTCTTTGTTTCATTCCTTCATGTTCGTGTCTGTGTTAAGGTCTTTCATGATCCTGTGTGTACGTATTTATACTTTATGTCGATTTTATTTATTTCACTATTTTCAAACCCGGAAAGCCACCCTAAATGTAAGTACCTATCAATGTTGTTTTCTGTAAAGTGTGAGAAGTGTTTTATTTTCAACGATTGTTATTTTACATAACTTATTTTGCTTTTATCAACACCCCTCATTTTGAAATATCATTTCAATATGTTATGTTCTTGTTTTTACTTCAGTATCCTGAAGATGAAACAATAAAGTTTCGAAACGTCGACAATTTAAACATTTCGACCGAATTCCCGCAAACTCAATAGTTTTCCTGAAACATTTTCAGTTCAGCAAAATTAAATTTTGTCTCATTTCTCATGGAAGCACTCCCGTATCTCACGTAATTATTGAGGTAGGGTTCTGAAATTTGCAGGAGGGAGGGAAAGTCCAAAGATGAAGTCAATTACGTAGGATTCCGGGGTGCTTCCGTAAAAAGTGCGACAAAATTTAATTTTTCAGAACTGAAAATTTTCTAGGAAAAATATGAATAGTCAGTGAATTGGGCGTCCTGATTCCGAATCTGAAGTGATTTTCGACCTATTTTGACTCCTAATATCATTTTCCGGAAATTGGGGTCATGGCTGTTGGCGAGCAGTGTATATCACTGAAGATGACCCCACTTGGTCATAGAGTGCATTTTTGGTATATCTCTCGCTCCAGCAAATTTCAGGATCCTTACCCAACGATTACGTAAGATACAGGGGTGTTTCCATTAGAAGTGGGTCACACTGTATACAAAAAACGTCAAAACAGCAGTGTTAAGTACATTTAGGAACTCTACTTCATGGTAACTCGCTGCACTTTCGCTTGTTTTTAGGCGGGAAATACTGGAAATCACAATAAAAAAGTCGCTTTTTTAATGTATTTATTTCAACCATAGACAAAAATGGATAAACTAGATACATTTATTTTTGCACATGTTCTACAATAATATCACTAGCAATAACTATCTATACCTATTAAATTCAAACTGTCAACACACAAAGTTAAGTTAATAATGAACGATTTTCTTCATAGTGCTATACAGGATAACTATCAATTGTTGTAACAGCAAAATGAAAAGATATTCAAATGGGCATTTCAACATATTCATCAAATACTCATACACCATTATCAAAATGATTGTTTGACTCTCAAATTCCATAAAAACAGAAAACAATGAATAATTGAAAATATCAATTTTTTCAAAGAAAATATTGATATTTAAGATCACATCTTTCGTCATTATGGTAAAGGAAACCGGTTCCATACTTATGCAACAGCGACCCTGTATAGTGTTTGCCAAATTTTGAAAAAAACTACAAACTATACTAGGCTGCAACCACCATCTCTTTTATGTTCTTCTCTACTGTTTAAGAGCACTTTCAATGGACAGAATATTATTGAGTTGTAACAGAATTTAAACCAATAGCTTAGCTAGGCCTTAAAATTCAAGAGCATTATTTATATCAATCATTAAATCATTTAAAACAATTTTCATATCAAGAAACTTCATTGAATTGGTGCAAGCTATACAATATTCGATTCTTTCATTTAGGTGATACTAGAGGCTACAATATTCCTTAAAAAAAAGTCATGACAAACTCTCAACTGAAAAATAATTCTGTCCTGTACCATGAATAAAAAAATAATCTTACAATGAATATTTGGTATACTGTGAGATTAACCCCCAACAAGAGAACTAAGAATGAATAGGACTAAGATTATATCACAAAGTAAGCAGCATTGACATTTCTGTCAATCAACCACAACCACTTCCACATGGAACAGATTCATTTGGTAAAATGTGGGGATCAAATTCACAGGAAAGGGCAATTCTAGATAAAATAATGATTCCTTCCTCCTACTTTCTAAATTTTAAAGTAAATTCTATATATAAGTAAATCAAGTTCAAATAACTTCGTGCCTCAATATCTATGATCATGAGTTGATTTCAAGGGATCCTTATTTTTTAATAATGTGAATGATCTAACTGTATTTTTATATATATCATCCATGATGATAGTGAAACAGGGTTGGCACGAATTAATTCATATGAATTAAGTCAGTGATTTAAATCGTGAATTAATTCAAATGACTTTTTTCAAATAAGTCGTGAATTAATTCAAAATTCATCAAATGGGAACAAATCGCATTATTACCTTCAATTTAAACTACACACACTGGCACAATTAGGGGAGAACGGGCAAAATTTACACTAAGTTTGACATCAAGTTTCTTTCGAACCGATCGCTCGATTCAAATTTTTTTCTCCACGAATTGTAGCTTTTATCTTCATGAATACATCCTGTGGACTAAACCACTGATTATTGGAACGATTTCTCAACTTCAAATTGGAGCCCAATCTATTCCGAATATTTTCGTTTTTTATTCATCTTGATATCTCAATCATTCAAGAAAATACAGAGTTTCAAAGGAAAGTAGGATATTGGTATCAATTTTACCACCTCGAAACTCAAATTGGATCTGAAAATGTGTCGTTTCTTGACTAACCTAACCTAACCATGACTAAACAAACAAATTGTTCATTTTGTTCACCTCGGCGATATAGTCTGTCCCTGCCATCTATCGAATTGATGCAGATGCGGCTCTCATATGTTAAAAGACATTGGGCCACTGGTCATTCTCAATTAATGCTACAGCCCTCGCCACATCAGTAGGAGTCAAATCTCTCATGTTGAATTTTCATCAATCAAATTCATGTGAATCGCTTGACTTTGACAATTATCAATGACATAAACAAAATAGCCAACGTTGATTAACTAAAATAGCATTTCACCAGAAGAACATTGGAGCAACTTTTATCACCCCTGCATATACATGAGAGTATTCGTATATGTGTCTTTAAACAGTAAACCGATAGGTAAAACTGTGAACAATTCTCATCTTGAAGTAAAAATCCTCACAGAAACAAGTTGATAAACGACACGTTCTCCCCAGTTCGAGTTTCGAGGTGGTAAAATTAATACCAATATCCAGCTCTTCTTTGAAACTCTGTATTTTCTTGGATAATTGGGATATCAAGATGGATAGAAAACGAAAATATTCGGGATAGATTGGGCTATAATTTGGTGTTGGGAAATCGTTTCAATTATCAGTGGTTCACTCCACAGGATGTCTTAAAGAATACCGAAAAATACGTTCTTTCTATACACCCCCCTGTATATGATATAAAGATGAATCGTTTGGAGGTGGTTATTTCTCAGATGTATTCGTGGAGAATGGAGCTACAATTCGTGAAAAACAAATTTGAATCGAGTGATCGGTTCGAGAGAAAATTGATGTCACAGTTAGTGTAAATTTTACCCGTTCCCCTAATTGTGCCAGTGTGTGTAGTTTAAAATGAAATAGTCCATGGCATCTGACAACTGACAACCGTGAAGCACCACACGCGGAAAACAACATTTTCTAAGAGCCGCTTTACAGTCTATAATATTTCATTGCATGCAATTGATTGCTCCAATTCATATTTCCGGCAAAAATAATATGTAGGCTTCTCAACACTGTATCGGAATTACCGGCTTGCAATGTCTTTTTGGTCATAGATTCTGTGTATTACTTCTCACCGAGTTTTGAGTTGGGTCAAGAGTTGGGTAGAAGAAACCATGAGAAAGACAAGAAAAGTAAGATCCAATGTGTATCTAATGATGCGTGAAATTCCGAAAATCTAACATGTCACCACTAGAATTGCACCAGTAATACAAATTACCACAATTTAAATAAATATGTCCGGACTCATTTCTTGCAATACATCGAAAAATTGTTTTCCAAGGTGAGACCAAAAATAACTGTAAAGCGACTCTATAATGAAGATTGTGAATGAGTAATCCAAGTTGCATAAACATCAAAAATGCCATATTTTGAGTATTTATTGTCATGCTTTGAGATTTTCAACGGAAATAAAAACTTAGTTTTTGCGATGTTCTTGTATTTTGTTCAAGTGAATAGATTTTGATTTGTTCTCTAATGAATTAATTCAAACAGTCAGGCTTTTTTGACTTTTTTATAAAACTCATGACTTATTCCAACCCTGTAGTGAAATAACCCAACGAAAATGGAAACAAAATGTGGGTAAATATTTGCATATTATAAGTCATAGTGATATATTCAAAATATGCAGTATTACAGTGCTAGGAATATGGGAAATAACTTGTACATGAATGTTGCTGATAATTATCTAGCCTTCGACCTTTGGCTTCAAATAATCTATGTATAGACAGGGTGGTCCAAAACTATCTCCCGATATTTCTTTGGCTGGTACATCCAAGAACAAAGTAATTCTTCTCTTTGGAAATAAATAAGACAAATATGCTCATTTTAAAGGGGGTCATGAATATCAGATTTTCTGCATTATATGATATATATTACTGACTGCCTTGAAAATATATTGATTTCAGATAAGGTATTTTTACTGCATTTCTATAAAACCAGAGGGTTTAAGAAATAATGGTAGACAATTTGGGACTGTGAATATTCTTCCTATTTTTTTAACATACTCTGCTCTTCATAGAAATATTGTACAAGGAGTTTCAATGAGAAAGGGAGACATTTATGTTCATGATTGTTGATGAGTATAATGAGGTGATTCCAAATATCCTACATGTCTATTTCACCCTATATAACCTAGATATGATGACATTTTTTAGTTCAATTCTGGGTAACAAAATAGAATCAGAAGAATTGAGAGAAATTGAGTAAATTTAGAGAATTCATACACCTGGGTGACCTGGGGAATTTGTATGTTCCCCTCTCTCACTGAGATACCCTGTATATACTGACATAATATTATGCAGCTTTCCCATTTCCAAACAACAATCTTACTTTCACCAAGTGGATACAAACAGTGCTACAGCAAATAAGATAAAATAAGTAAATTCAACATACATAGTACAAAAAAAATTGAGAACATGTTTCCTGAAATAGCAAAATTCTTCAAATTGTTTTGGAATGAGAATATAAATCTGTTTGCATAAATATCTAATAATTTAGGGTATCATAGGCAATTTCACAGTGTAGAAATAGTGGAATGTCAGGTATCTGAACTTTTTTTTCTGGGATTTTGAATCATTTTGCACTGAAATTCACATCTTTGAATTTATTTTTGAAGTAAAACTTCATTGCACCACTGACATTGAATTTTGGGTGTTTTTGAAGTATAGGGACACATTTCAAATATATTCAAATGAGAATAATAACTATTCTACCTATTACCTCTGACCCAGAATATTGTTTATTTCATGAAATATTGGTAAATTCCTGTGAACTCAACTTTGGAAAAAATGATTTTCCCATTAATCCAAGATACTTTCTATTTCCAAAAATCTAAATAAGTAATATGTTTAAGAGGCTTCATTTCAATAATGTGACATTAATAATATCAGAATTTTGCTCATATTCAGCACTACTGCAAAGGATTTGAACTTAAATACTAAATAGAAGTGACTCAGGGGGTTACAATGTATGATAGTTCAACTCTGTACGAGCCTTGTAAAATTTGAATGCAACAAATCCAATAGCAACTAACCCTAAAGCTAGAACTATTCCACCAACAAAACTAGGTCCATCAAATCTGTAAAAAAAGTATAGTAAAGTCAGTCAGATAAGTTGTGTTATTATTCTTGTCAAGACCAAAGACCAGCTGTACAAATATTTACAATGTACTACAAATTGGCAAAAACATAAAACAGTTTTATTACTTACCTCCTGTGATGTTCTGGTACTGGTGGAGTGGTAGGAACTGATGGTTTGACTGTAGAAGTAGAAATAGGTGTAGTCCCATTAGAAGGTCTAATGGTTGTCACAGTAGAATTGGTAGGTGGTATTGGGGGTACTGTAGTGACATTTGGTGCTAAAGTTGTGACATTTGGTGCTATACTTGTGGATTTAGTAGTAGAGGGTGTTACAGTGGAGGTGGTATGAGATGTAGTACTTTGAGCTGTAGTTGTTGAAGGAACTTCTGAAATAAAAGTGAAAGAATGATAATAAATGATACATGAATTTCAACAGAAACTTACCAGTTGTTGAATCCACAGGGACAATATCCGTTATTGGAGCATCTGTGACAGTTGTGTTATTTATATCAATAGTTACCTCATGTTTCGGTCCATCTGAGAAAAAAACATCTTAACATTATTAAGACACTATACATACATAACAAGAACAACCTACCTAGTTTGATAGAACCAACGCCGATTATAACAGACAGACTAATTAATAGATATTTCATTCTGATTACAAGAATGTACAATTGCAAACAGATCAAGATGACGAGTTTGAATAAAAAATGAATCTCAATGCAATCACTGATTTTATACTAGTGCACGGAAAAGTCAGAAAAGTGCTGCCGTAGAGTAATCCGTTAGATTCCGATGGAGGAATGTGGCAATGTGGATTGTGGAACTTGAAGTGGGATGGATCGAATTTTCAAATTGATTTTTTTGATGTTTTCTTTCAACGAGCTATCAACCAACAACATCAAGCTAAACAAAACAACAAACAACACAACAACAAGTAACACAACGACAACGTGACGTCGTTTTCACTTGTCACACTGTGATTTGATTACTGTGCTCATTGTAACAAGATTTCAAATAACCATGACTTTCGGCATGGACATATTTTTACAAATCTCACAGATTCATCTAAATGCTGTAAATTCACAGGTCAATTCAAATCTCTGTAGTCTGTATCTAAGATGCCTATAACACGTCGCCTTATCTGACGGCACCAACTTCACTTCTGGGCGTTTTTTTTTGATGATATGTCCAATAAGCGCCATCAAAATACAAATGTGAACCAATGAAAACAGAGTAAACATGCCGCTTTGGCAGCTTTCGAGAACTCCGATAGGTGGCGTACGCTTATTTACTATCGCGAATTCAACAAGCATATTATAATGAGGGCAATTATTCACGAAGGTTAAGTTTATGTCACAAGCGTAGCGAGTGGCATAATTAACCTGAGTGAATTATAGCTCATTATGTGCGAGTAGAATACTATACTTTGTCCACGACTACTATTGTTTTTGATATTTGATTTTATCTTTAACAACTGTTTAATCATAACTTATTAGACATTAAGAAAACTAAAAATTGAAGATACCTGTTTCATTAAAATTATTTGTCCAAGACTGTGGTATTTCCTGATGCAAAGCTATAGCCATTTTTCACACCAGTGAATATTAGCGGTGAATAACCATTATTCACTATAGTCTAAAGTTTGCGTACCCTAGGAATCTCTAGACCAGTGAATAATGGTTATATCACAGCTAATATGAAAAATTGCTACCGTTTTGCTTGAGGAAGTACATGCATATTATATTTCATACCACAGTCGTGGATTAAATAATATTAACAAAGCCAATGCTAAGGAAAAATATCATTGTGATAGGTCTCAGAGGTCTCAGAGGACATTGTTAATCTAAGTGGAAAACCTACAATTAGTAGGCGAACTGCGAATGTATATCTCCATTCAGATCGATAATGGTGAAAATATTCTCGTGGAATAACTGTACACCAGTACCAGTAGGGTAGACCGGGGGCAATTGTAACATTTTGACTTTCAACACTTGCTGTTTTTAGGTTAATAATTGTAGGACAAATTGATTTCGCCTAATAATTGGTAACTCACTTGTTCACAAAGTTAATGTGTTCAAATGTCTCTGGGATGTTTAGCATAGCATCACAAATTCATTTTTCAAAAAGTTGAACGATGTTACAACCGTCCCCGACCCCGGCTCAGTTGTAACAGTTAACGGGGTCAATAGTAACACACCACTGTTTTTTCTTGAAATTGTTTATTATTGAACTTTTATTAAATAGTTATTATACTTGAGGTTAGATAATGAAAAATAAAGATAAAAAGTCATTCTGAATCACAATTATGACAAACATAAGGATAAGAACTTGGAGTACATTCCTCATGTGCCCAGAGTTTGCAATCAGAGCACTGCAGCCACTGTTCCCCTGGCTTGCTACTGCTGTAGGACTCCATGCAAACTAAACAATAATATTCTTCATCTTCACTCGTTTCTGGAGAATCGTTTCTAGATATTTTTTTTGTTTTCTTTGATATATATTTCGCCTTCCCTTTCCCTTTCACATCAGTTATATTCCTTTTCACCACATGAGCTCTTTTCTTATTTTCTCTTGCTTCAGATTCTAATCTAATAAGATCTTTCTCTGGAGTGTCGGTATACACAGCAGACTTCCTCTTTGTTCTTCCTCTATTCGTGTTTTTTCTGGGTTCTGCTTTCGGAAATGGTCTAACGAATTCCGGAGAAAATTCAGTTGGATTCTTCGTGGCGCCAGTATCTTTCGATGTTGATGGAGTGTCAACATTCATCTCATTCTCAATTGGATTCGAAATTTCTGGTACTTCCCCATCGGAAGGCGAATTATCAAGCACTGAAATAGCTGTGGTTTCAAATTCTGGCTGAGGCAGAATAGCTTGAGATATATTTGCACTTTCCGTTTGGTGTGAAGGTGTATCTTGGAGCTTTGACATGGGGATCGGTCTGTCCGTAACATAAGAGGGTGCGAAATCGATGTCAGTGAATATGTCTGCGTTAAATGGGTATATTCCTGTACACTTGAAGCCAGCTTGTATATTGGTTTGAGTTAATGTTAAGGGTAAAGCATTAGATACGATGCTTGGTATGTCGTAGATTGACATGGGTTTACCAGGATTGTTTCTCATCCAGCAATCGCTAGCACTGTTCACCGCTTTTTTGAATGGTCCGAAAACGGATCTATCTAATGGCTGGAGCTTATGGGAGCAGTGGGGTGGAAATGATAGCATTACTATACCATTAGCCTTACAGAAATCTAGCGCCTCTATCGTGATATGTGAGGAATGGTTGTCCAATAGGAGTAGTACTTTTTTATCAACTGATGAGTTTATGTGATTCTGGAAGTGTTTAAGGAACATCACAAACTCGGTTTCTTGCATCCACCCCGAAGAATTCCCTGTGCCAATGCACCCAATTGGGCCATCTCTTATGAAATGATGTTGATACCTTATGCGTGGAAAAACGAACATTGGCGGGACATAATTTCCTATGGCACTCACAGCTATAGTAACTGTCACAAGAGTTCCACGCTCACCAGATGTAAGTGCACCTACTTGCCGAATTCCTTTTTTGGCTACTACCCTATTAGGTTTCTGGACAGTAGTGACACCCGTCTCATCAATATTGTAGATATCTTTCGCTGCAAACTTTTCGCGATCCATCACTCTACTCAGATTATCGAAGAAGGCCTTCACATTTGTTTTGTTGAAGCTTGTAGCTCTCGAGAGACTTGTAGCTTGAGCACACCTTATGGATAAATCCTTGTGTCGTTTCATGAATCCAGAAAACCAATCCTCTCCAGCAATTTTGTTAGTAGCCCAAGATGTAGGCGCTTTTAGATGATACTTCTCAGCCAGTTCATAGGCCAATCTTCGTATTTCTTTCGGGGAGAGGCCAAAGTAAATATCTGCTGCTTTCGTGATGTATTTTGACATCTCAACCTCTTGGTTTGCAGAAAAAACTCTTGTGTGAGAGTTGTACCCCATGGAAATAACTTGATCAGCATTTTCTGCGTCTGCGTTTGCTTCTCTCTTCCTCTTATATCGCATTAATGAGACATGACATAGTCCAAATTCTTTAGCAGCTCCCCGCACAGATTGACCACCAAGAACTTGTTCGTATGCTCGTTCATAGGTAGAAGTACTTTTCAAATTCCGCTCTGTTTTTTGAATTCGTGTTCGTGGCATCTATAATGAGGAGAACATGGATTAAAACGCATGTACAGAAATTGAACGGGGTCATTTGTAACGTTACAATCGACCCCAATGAGAATGTTACAATTGACCCCAATGCGTGTTCAGACCTTGAAGGGCAAAAATGAAATATTTGTAAATAAAGTAGACGTGGGAAACATACACACGATGATCTGAAAGACCACCCAAAACACTTATACCATAAATGAGAGTCATGACATACATAGGGAAATAACTATCGAAGATCTACCGAGAAAATGAAAACTTACTTTGTGTATATGAAAACAGAACACTCGTCACAATGACCGTTATCTCGTTCGGATGATCGAACTGTACACAATGCGTGGCGGGAGGGACTAGATGCACCACGTATCGAAGCGACGTGCACACAGGTGCGGCGGTTTAGAAACTATTAGCTATGTTTCAATTGACCCCTGTTACAATTGGCCCCGGTCTACCCTACACACATTCTTTGAGGAAATGTGATTTAACTATTGATACCTTATTTTTATTATTATTGGCCCCTTTTTTCACATATAGGGTCATATAATATTCTCACTCGAGGATCAATATCTGTATTTGTCTGTAGTTGACTTCCGTTTGAAGGTGGTTTTATTACCCTTTTTTATAAGTATTTCCAGCGACAAGACAATACACTTTATTTGACTTTTATTTTATTATTGACAACTGTCTAACGAAAATACATGGTGATTTGCACCCAAAAATATATACAATATGATATTCAATAACACTCCCCCCAGTAATGAACTCATAGATTCATTACTTAATTTTCTTTCTGAATATCTAGGATACAGAGTTTCGCCACCGGTCGTTTGAAAATTCCCATGTTCGTTTTAACATCCACAACTCGAACTTGGCCATCGGTGCCCGGGTATACAGCAGTGACAACTCCTTTGGGCCAAACATTTCTGCAAAATTCTGAATCCACAACTACAACCACGTCACCAAGCTTTATTTTTCTAATAGAAGGGTTGAACCATTTGGTTCTCTTGCTCAGGACTGGTAAGTATTCACGAATCCATCTGCGCCAAAAATGATCGGCCAGCAGTTGAGAAATTCGCCAGTGTTTTCGTGAGACCATGTCATGTTCCTCGAATCTTCCAGGAATCTGTACTCCACTCGAAGTACCCAACAAAAAGTGGTTGGGTGTTAATGCTTCATCATCAGCATGATCCAATGATACATGAACTAAAGGACGACAGTTCACTGTGTATTCCGCCTCTATGAATAGAGTTTGTAGAATCTCTTCTCGTGGTGCTTTTTCTTTCAGAATTACATTCAGTGAAGTTTTGATAGAGCGGATCAATCGTTCCCAGCTCCCTCCCATGTGAGGGGCTGATGGTGGTATGAAATGCCATTCAATTTCCTTTGTAGTTAATGTCGAAACAATCTGACTTTGATCAAGTTTGCTTAAAGCATCTTTGAGTTCTTTTTGTGCACCTCGAAGATTCGTTCCATTATCGGAATAGATTTTCTTGGGGTACCCCCTACGGCCAATGAATCTTCGGATCGCCATAATTGCCGAATCTGTACTCAGTGAGTGAGCGATTTCTAGATGGACAGCACGGACACTCATACAGGTGAATAAAACACCGTATCTTTTT